ATTTAACCAAAAGTGTGACAGTCGTTTCGCCCTTCTCTGTACCGATACTGTACTAGTACATAAGTTAGTTGCGCTATAAGAGCTAAAAACGGCTTCTAAAAGTGGGTGCGTCTGAATTTGCGCCCTTTGGCTTTGGTGGTCCGATGTCTCCTCCTAGCGTTGTCATGGCAATGTCCTTACGTCATAGTTGAAACTCGCCCCTGGTCCCAACGCGTTTGCACTTCACATGCACCTCCATGCACCTCATATTCTTTCTGCGTGCGCGGCGAGCGGCAGAGACGGACTTTCTTCGTCAACTAGTGCCTTCGTTTGCAATTTGCGCCTTTACATATGGACTTTGCCGTCATCCAGGCGTGGATTGACGAGGTCACAACGACGCAGCTAGCCGCTGTTGCAATTCCTAGTGATCCATTGCCCAATAACGCTTGTCGCCTTTCCGATGAAATGTCCAGTCCATCCAAGCGTCAACGAACGAGCGGGCAGACTGACACCTACACGGATCCCGACGAAACTCCTACACGTTCCGGACCGCAACGGCGGCACGGCAGTGACAGCGCTGTTTTTGATGGAGCCGGTGAAGTAGCTCCATCGACGCCTTCCGCATCTTCCTTCACTGCCATGCTCGCAAGCAGGACGGTCTTTTCCGTTGCTGCAACTGAACCGCGTGCTCCCACAGAATCTTCCTACATCAGAGCGGAATCGCGCAGCAAATCTCCGACGAAACGGTTTCGAAAGACAACCGACCTGCTCAACTTGGCGATACCTGTTCGTTTCATGAAAGAGTGTGACCTTGATAAGGCTGTCCCGAGCGATGCGAAGAAGCTGTTTGAAGCTTTGTCTATTGTTGCGGCTAAGGAGCAGATTCTTCCCGCAATTTTGCGGTCCCACGCAGACTTTCAGGACGCGAGAATTCGAAGCTTCATGTGGATTTCCACCGATACTACAAACGATCACAATAGCGCAAACGTCAAGAAAACCGCTCTTCGAGAGCACGCACACCTACGACGCATCGTGGATGATTCCATTGCCTCCTCCAACCTCCATCGGTCTGAGGCTGCTTGGAATTGTCTTGTACACAGCCCCTATCTACAGCACGCAACCCGCTGCACAGAGTTTCTCGATGTCGAGCCCATTACTTCGGCACAAATTCTCCCCACCTTTCGCCCTTTGTTCAACTCGAATGAGCAAGCACCACCTACTGCCAGTCTGTCCAACGCGAGCAGTGCGTCCGGACAAACTCGGCTGAGCTCCTACACATCGTCGGTCCACAAAATGGTTGATTTTGCCTTGGTTCTTCGTCCTGAGGCGAGTTTGCAACGTCTGATTGACGAGTTTCTGGCCAAGCAGAGAGATGCTACCGCCACAATCAATCAAACCAGATATGAGCCGCTCCGTACCCGACCGGCTCCCATCTTTATCGAAACCAAGATCTCATCCGGCACTATGGAGGACGCCAATGTCCAACTTGGCATATGGGTTGCTGCATGGCATCAGCGAATGCGCAGCATCATCGCCCTCGGAGAGGTAACAGACAAGATTATCACAATTCCCGTCGTTCAGGTCGTCGGTGGCGTTTGGACTCTCTTGTTTGTTGTGGACGCTGGCACGGAAATAGTAAGTTTCTCGTTCGCTTGTCTGAGTTTCATTATCCGGTACTAATTCTAGTAGACTGTGCTTGACGACAACTTTCGAATAGGCGATACCGACAGTATCGTAGGCGTTTACCAATTGCAAGCCGCCTTGTCTGCGCTTGCTGGCTGGGTCAAAGACACATTTCAGCCATGGTTCACCACGCTTTTGACTCGTGCAAATGAATAGCGGCCGAGCCGGCCCTCACGTGCTTGAGAGCGAAACGCATGAGTTATGGAGTGTTGATGGGCATACGACTACTTTTTCACAGAATTAGAGCAGGGCGTTGGAAAACTTCGTCAGGAAAATGGAGGAAATGGGGAACGCGACTGCGAGCGCTGCTGATGATGG